ACATATAACTATTAATGAAACAACAACAGGAAAAGATATATCATCAAATGTTACTTTACCAGGAATGCGTTCTCATCATTCTCAACATAATCCATTACCACCAACAATACCAACAATAATCAAAGGTAAACCTAGTGAACCTTTACCAAATCAACAACAACCATTAGATGTATCAATTAATCCAATTGATTCTTCAAATAATTTTATGAATGGTTCGAAAAAGAAAAGTGGATTTAATGATACAAAAAATACATCTGAAAAAAATCAACCTGTGACATCATCAAGATTTGTTCAATTTCTTCAACGTTTTAAAACTAGTGCAAAAAAACGTTATAAATCATATGATATGTATTATTCATTAAATAATTTATTTGATTGGATTGTTTATCTACTTTGTTTAACAACAATAATAACACATGTTATTGATATTCGTTATCATACTGTAACACGTGCACGTATTCATATGTATGTTGCATCAGTTACAGTATTATGTATATGGTTTCGATTTATGGTCTTTTTTCGTACAATATCTATTTCATTTAAAACATTACGAGCAAAAATAGTTGAAGTTAAATTAGGTGAATTAGTTATTATGGTAAGTTTAATAAGACACGAGTACTATTGCATTGAACTATGCACATGAATAAATACTGGTTATAGTTAATTATATGAAGATTTTGAATTCGATCGAATTCGTACTTCCAGTAGAACCTATTCGATGCGATTGAAGAATGGATTTAATAAGTTCCATTACAGTATTAATAATAATAACCAAATATAAATAACATCTATTATGTGTATAGAATACCTGAATTCGGCTGGATTTGAGTTTACGATGAACTTTAGCTAACGAAGAAATGTTCCCATGTGTTTCGCTCCGATTTTGCTCGTTGATATATCATTCGATAGAGGATCTCGAGTAGATAAAAAGCATACAAGAGTTCCAGCCGACAGCTTTTTCTTCGGAAGTTACGATCAGTTTTCTGATTTTTCCAGCGAAAACTAGCACAAAAAAGAAAAATTCATAACTCCATCAAGGAAACTCATCAAGAGCCAAAATTTGCTTTGATGGTAGTCTTTAAGGATCCTCGATATACTCTAGAAGTTTCACAATTCTATTACTCTCTTTTCCCTAGTTACAGGACATTTCTATAATTAAGGATAAGGGTGTGGGCAAAGGGAGCACTGACGCCTACACTCATACTCACACCCTTACTGATAGAAATGTCTTATAACTAGGGAAAAGAAAGTGATAGAATTGTGAAACTTTCAGAGCATATAGAAGATCCTTAAGACTATCACCAAAACAAATTTCGACTCTCTATGAGTTTCCTTGATGGAGTTATGAATTTTTCTTTTTATGTTAACTTTCACTGGAAAAATCAGAAAATTGATCGTAACTTCCGAAGAAAAAGCCGTCAGCCAGAACTCTTGTATGCTTTTTATCTACTCGAAGTCTTCTATCGAATGACATATGAACGAACAAGATCGGAGCGAGACACCTGGGAATATTTCCTCGTAAGATAGAATTTAGCACAGTGCATGAGGTTGAGATGATGGCTGGCTCTGTTGAACTACGGCTTGCTTTTGATACAGTTAAAATATATTACGTAGTTACTATTATCCAAATAGAATCGTTCTAGATCCTGTCGAAAACATGCTGTTAAAAGGTCGAAAAGAAAAATGTCGAAAATTTCAACTAACAAGAGATTTTTTATTTTTGGCATAAGGGATATGAGTATGGATCGTAGTCTTCTCTTCATCTGCCATCATAGCTGAGTAGCTACGTTATTCTTTTCTTCACATTTACTTCGGAGACATCACTCTTTTTTTCAATATTTTTCTTTTCAACCTTTCTACAGACAATCCTATCGAAATCCTAATTATGAGACTCCAATCATCGGAGTTAACCCAATTCTTAGAACTTCCAATTGAACTCTATCAGATTTTATCGAAATCTAAACAACAAACATTGTTCATCTTAGTTAATCGATAAATTTTATAGTTTAAATAAATTCAATAAATCTAAAAGAAAAAATCCAGATCTCAATAACTTCTCTATATATTGTACTAAAAATGTTATATGATATTTTTTAGGTTCGCATGATGTTCGATGATATAATACGTTTTCTATCAGTTTTTGCTTTTCTTCTTTTACCATATGCATTCGTTTTCTTTGCTGTATTTGGTCGTAAACAAATTATTGCTACTGATTATGATAAAACACCTGAACTTTGTGAAAATGCATTACTTCATTGTCCTATTGTTGAAATCATTACATCTAAGGATAATGATTCTGATCCACTTGAAAATAATCATCGTTATGTATTTAATGGAACATCATCTAATGCTGGAGATTTATGTTATAATGCAACACATTCATGTCATCTAATTGAACCAGATGGTTTTGATACATTCTATTCATTACTTTTTTCTATTTTTCGTATTGCATTAGTTGATGATAGTAAGAATCACAAAAAAAAAAACTTCTAAATCATAATTGATATGTTATTTTTCTCTTTTTTTCCTTTATCTTTGTATTTATAGTTCCAGTTGCTGCATTTAATTTAATTGATCGTCATTTTGCTGCATTTGTTTGTAGTACATATCTTTTATTTACTGCAATATTAGCTGTTAATATATTTATTGGTCTTATATCAAATGCATTACAAACAGAAGCATTTTCAACAGTTGAAGCTCGTTTTCTTCTTGAACGTATAACAGTTATATTAAATTGTGAATGGCGTTTTTCTGCACGTAGACGTTTACAACTACAAGAAATGATTCATCGTCAATGTTCACCATTACAATTAGATTGGAAAGATATTAATTTTAATGCATTTGGACATTCACGTGAAGAACAACAAGCTAAAGCATTTACTCATTTTCGACAAACAATTGATAAACATAATATACATTTTAATACATTTCGTATACAAGTACAACAAAAATTAAATGATATTGATTCAACATTAACAAAATTACAATCAACAACAATAATATCAAAACAAAATTTAGCAAAAATAACACCAACATTACAAGAAAATACAAAACAAACAGATACAACAAATATACAATCATTATCATCAAAAGATTCTTTAATAAATCAAAGTACAGAACAATTAAGTAAAGTTCAACCATCATCAATAACAGAACCAACAATAAATATAGCTGAAGAATTAACACGATTAAGAGAATTATTAGAAGAAACACTTGCTGGACAAAATGATCGAATTATTAATACTACGCGAACATTACCCGGTTCAATGAGTAGTATAGCTAGTACAAAACGCCCATCAGCTGCAAGTATAACATCTTCTCATCGTCAACAAATTAATTTGCCACCACCAACAGGAACACATATTACAACTCATGTTGAACCTTTTTCACAAAATTTAAATGAACGTATTACTGATTTACAATTAGCTGTTAATCGTCTTCATCAAGATGTAACTTCTATTCGACAAGTAATTGAAAGAATGTCACCATTAACGACTAGTCTTATTCTTGGTAGAACAACTGGACGAAGATAATATGTTTTTCTTTTTTGTTTGCATTTTTTCTTTCATATATTTATGCATCCATAGTATGACTGACCTTTTTTTTTCTAATACACGAGCCGAAATGTATGAACTCAAGAAAATGAATTACAACATAGATTTAATATATTTCACTATAGAAACTATCAATCGAATGATCTAATTGAATATCATAGTGCTGATATATATATATATGTATATCTACGTCAGAATATCAGACAATAAGATTGGTGACAGATTCTTGTACGTTCGTATCAGATGTTACGTCAAAATCATGGTTTCAGAAATCTTATATCAAAACATACATTAAGCTGCATATAAGATCTGACAAAATGATCTTACCACGATAATAAAAGTTCCTATTGTGAGATCTTAAAATGTTTTATTGATGATAGAATTTATATAATCAGGTTGTTGTTGTTGTATTAGCTATTATTGTAAGATTTCCCGATTGAATCATACATTAAAAATCATTCGAAGTCTTTCAATTATATTGAGAGTACAATCTTGCATGTATTATTATTATTATTCCGCAAATGGAAGATGCAATACATTAGCAATATTTGTAACCGGAAAAAAAGAATATCCTTTATATCAAAATATATGATGATAATTCGCTTTGATTGTTATTTCCAATGTTTGAATTTTATTCAATCAGTCGTAGACTTTCAATTATATTTTCTTTATTTGAACTTATAAAAATGAATGGATACGAAAAAAAAACCATATATTAATTCAATAAAATGACTTTGAAAAAGTAAAATATTTTTTAGTAAAAGACAAAAACTATATATATTTACGACATACCAAAAGTGTAGTGTCGGTCCAATCTCAATTTCATAAAGAGGGTTTGAGAAAATTTTCTTTTTATATAGACTGATAGTACAAACAAAACTCTACATTTCTACACTATTGGATCATTATTCATATAATATCAGAAGTTTATATTGTCTGGATTTTCTCTTTATTCGTGAGGGTGAGGACAATAGTCTCATGAATTCGTTGACTACATAAATTCGATAAATAGATTCAACGAATGCAATTGTGTGTGGATCACTAAGATGATTATTTCGAACATTTGATGAAATAAAAGCTTATTTCTGTATTCCTTTTTTTGTTCTATCCCCACTACTGTTTTGTATATTCTTATATGTGTATTAGACAGTTAAGCATCCAAAGAGACAAGAATAAAGAAAAGAGAGGAGAAGACAATATGGACTAATCTTATCGTTATATATCATACCTAAACAAGTCTAATGGAAATTTTATTATTATGATATTAGATGATTAATGATCCAATAGTATAGAAATGTAGAACTTTGTTTTTACTATCACTCTATATAAAAAGAAAATGTTCTCAAATTCTCTATATGAAATTGAGATAGGATCGCCTAAGGATATATATAAGGAAATTAGAATATGAAAATAAGGAATAAATAATTATAAGTGTTCAATCAATTTTTAAAGTTTAAGAATAGAATCACTTAAACCAAGCCATCTTTTATATGTTCCAGTAGTTCCTGGTTTACCTAAAATATAAAGATTTTTTTTTATAGCTTTTTGCATATATGCAGAAACAAATCGATCGACTCTTTTTAATAAAATGAATTTATGTTCAGTTATATTCAAATGATAAGTTTTCTCTCACCTCATTGATTATTATTATAACTATCCATTGCTAAATATACTAAATATGATCCGCCAGTTTTACAATTTTAAAAACTATTAGCGCACCAGCTCCCTGCTAGATTAAAATATGAAATATCAAAGGGAGGTTGATTTATTCCATCTATTTTCAGGTAGATTTCTTCAGCATCCCTCGAAAAATACAATAAGAAAATGGTTCATATACGATAACAAGATGTTATTAATATACGATCTTCGATCATATATTAACAACATCTCTCACGTTGTCGTACGCAGAAACGGAGCGTTGCTAAAGTATCTATGATGTCTTCATGGTAATGTCAGTTATGATTTGTGGTGGCCGAGAAGATGTACAAATTTCTACTCTATATACTTCAAAATTTCTTTTAGATAATGTTTTACAAAAATACTTACATCGTGGTTTGTTATAGGTTACATCTGTTGGCCAATAAGCAAAACCATCTTTTGCATGACGTTCATAACGATTTGAATATTGTGATAAAGATGGTCGCTGATTAATTTGATCTGTTGCTGACCATGTCATAGAATCTAATGATTTTGTTGTTAAATTTGGTGTTTTATTTGATAAATCTTGATTTGATGATGATGTAAATGAATGTTGTGCTCGTAGCATCGGAAAATGACCAAAACGATGCGTTGGATATTTTATATTATCATTAATTTGTACTGTACCTAAATAAAATAAAATAAATAATAGAAAAGAAAAACAAAAACAAAATTATTTTATAACCATCAATAAATAAAAGATTTGCTGCAGAATATGTATTTGTTTGTTTGATATGAGGCCAATGACCTCCACTACGACCAAAATGTATTCTAAAGAAAAATGATAAAATATCTTTTATTAAATATCTTTTATTAAATATCTTTTAATAATTCTTACTTTGAAGTAGCACTATTAGTTCTAGAAGTTGTTGTTAAATTTTGTTTTAAAGCATTACGATAAAGCATTAAAGAATTTAATTGTTCATTATCAATATTATTCCAACCATTAGTTTGTGATGATGGATTAAAATAAAAATTATTACCAAGAACCTCTCTTTAAGAAATAAAATGAAAATTTGTTTTTTTTATTTTTGTTTCTTTTAGATCAAAATTTATTAATACCGTTGTGTTTGAGGTAATGGTGGATTATTATTAAATGGTTTTATTTTTGTTGTAACAAGATTATCATTATTATATCCATGATTATCATATATTTGTTGTTGTTGTTGTTGTTGTTCAATAGTATCACAGCTGCGATGAAGTGAATCTGTACTTCCTAAATAAAAAACATCGTCGTCAATAATAAACAATATATACATATATGTATTTACCTCGAAAGCCATTTGATGAAGAATTCTAAATAATTATACATATATTCGATATACAGATGTTATATTAATTTATAAAGAAAAAAATTTAAAATTTAAGATTTTTGAAAATCGTAGAGACTTTTAAGACAGAACAAACCTTATCAATATGCAATACAACGGTTGATTCTCGTTGAATTTTTGATGGTGGAGTAGGTGCGACCGGTTTACAACGAAATGAAGGAACTGATGATCTAAAAAGATGAAATGATTATCTCACCTGTTCGAAAGATGGCCAATTTTTTCGTGGACTCGATATTGTTGAAAGATTATTTAGACTTTGAGAATGTCGAAGTCCACCTATTAATCGATATGGAGCTACTTTTACACCGTCCATTTTGTTGGCTTTCTGCAGCTGATCAAGAACACCAGTGCAATAAGAGAAATTATTTATTGTTGTTGTTGTTGTTTCTCTTGTTTTCATTATTTTTCACTCTCTTATTTATAGTAGTCCATTTGATGGTAATGGTGAAAATAGTTTTAAACCCATTAAATATATAACAATATGTTTCTTTCTCTCTCTCTCTCCTCTCTGTCCCTGATTTGTTTTTGTTTTGAATGTACGTTAGATGAAGAGAAAAATGTTTTTGCTTTTTTTTTTAAACTTACTTAGCTCGTTGAAGAAGATACGTCGTACCATAACGAGAACTTATAGTATCTGTCATGATTTGCAGAGTTCTATTAAATGAAACATAAAACATTAATTACTAAGAGAATTTAATATATGATTAGAAATTAAAAAATCAAAATGTATTAGGATAGAAAACTTCATTGTTCTTAAAATTATGATTATAAATCAGATACTTTAAATTATTCTCTTTTCCGTTATACGTTTGGTCCATATCTCTTTGTTACTATATGGTAAACTACATTTAGCTTTTTTTTTGGTTCTTATTTGCTACAACATGAAGGATGCTCACTAAACTTTAACCTGCTTAATCAGTAATAGGTGTTTTTTTTTCCATGTTTCATTAATGGAAAAGGTTCATATATTAATTGTATCTATCTATCATATGCCAGAATTTTAGCTTTTGGACTTTTAATGCTTCTTCAATTATTTTCAAGGATACAGTTGCGAATGAAAGGAGCCTGACGATAATCAAGTCGATGCTTGTTCTATAGTTTATAGTTCTTATCAAAAAATACTTTCTGCTGTTGTATCATTTGTTTTTTTCAAATTCGTGGTCATTTTCAATTTAATTTATGGAATCCAACAAGAAAACTTGTCAGTACGGCCTCTTGTGAGACCAAAATGTGAAACTCACAATCGTCTGATTGTTATAAATTTATGATATATTGTCAGAAGTTTTAAAACAGCTTATTAAAAAAATAATCAAATAAATGAATAAATCAGAATTTTTATAGTTAATACCTGCGCTCTGAAATTTTACTTTGTCGAAGCCTCATATTTATAATTACTTTTCTATCAATTTATTTGATTCATTTAACATTCTAATGTTGAAAAAAAAGTTATTTTTATTCTCCAATATATCTTCAATACATAACTTTTATTTACTTAATTATAATATCTATACGATACATGTTAAAATATTAGTTATTAATTAATTAATTCATCATTTTACTAATTGGCTAATTAATTCATTTGTTTGTAACGGTCTATAATAGAAGGAGTTACTAATGTCTGTAATGGGAGGGCTAGGGAGAAGGCGGAGTGGTAACACCTCGATTTAAAACTTACACTGACTATTTTCTTCGAAAATATATGTGAGTTCCACAAAAGACAACAATTAAGAGAAGAACAATTCGAAAGTGACGATGAATTCAGCAAATACATGACAAACCAGAAGAAAATATTTTCTGGCATGAACTACAAATCATAGAAAAAATATCGAATTGATCAAGATGAAGAACATATATATGAAGCTGCTTATATAATGTCATTTACGTTATTTAGAGCATTTCATTTATCAAACTCCTCTCATTCGTAACAGTTTCCTTAAACATAATTGAAGAAGCATTAAAAAATAATTCAAAAAGTTTCTATGAAATTTTTGTACTCTTATAGCAATAAAAGTTCAATATCTGACAGATAATAGATCGATACAACTAGTACATCTACTGTTAATATAGATAAGCCTTTTCCATTAATACAGCATGCATAAAAATTATATTGATTAAACAAGTCAAAATTTAATGAACATTCTTCATATCTTTAGTACATTATTCTACTTACTATTATCAGCAGAATTGTAGCCAAGAAAAAAAAAATGTATGCAATAAAAATGTTCTAGCGGATTAATAATATATATTTGATATAAAAAAAAAACAAGTTTTCAGTCACAACACTTGAGCATACTTTTCTCTCGTCCTAGCAATGATGAGAGATGAAGTGTTATTAAAAGTAACACTTGCATACCTTGTTTTTTGCTTACGCATAAATCTCTTATGAGAATGAGAAGAAAAGAGAAAAAGAAAGTAACTTAACGGTTTAAAAAAAAAATAATAATGTCATCGAAAGTTCGAACTATTGTAGTTAGTTAATGAACTAATATATTATTTTCTTTTCTCTATTGATAATGAAGAGAAGAAAAATAACGACATAGATTCGGCTTTTTAGATGATAAATAAAACTGTTTTTAAATGTAAAAGAATTTTAATAGGCGAGATAATTTAGTTTTTAAATTTAAGATTCAAAAGAAAATAAAAACAATATTTTTTTGCATGAAAAATTTTATTTGACAATCGAGATGAAAAAATAACATATTAGATTATTCTGAATCGATTAACGAAACATTAAATAAAATAATGTTTTTTTTTTTTTTTACAATTCAAAACAGAAGTATTTCTCGTAGCGATATTTTCTTTTCGTAATAATTCTAATTACAAAATCTAAATGATCGATCAAAATTTAAATCATTTTTCTTTTTGTTCAATACAAAATTATTTTAATTAACTTATATAGGAAATCATCGATAGACAACAATTGTGATAGTTTAGTGACAGGATATAGAGATTAAAATTGCATGGAAAAAGAAAACCATATGGCACATCTATCATACATTAATTTTTGATGTTCTCTTTTTTTGTATTTATTTCCATGATCACGCATTGTTCTTATTGAATGACAATGGTAGTCAATTATTATTCTTCAAAAAAAAAAAAACAGTATAATTTATAGCACAACCTGAATTTTTTTTTTTGAAAGAAATTATACAAGGTTATTGAAGAAAAATTATAGTCATTCAATCTTTTTTTTCAAAATAAAACTTTACTTTTTTTTTTCTTCATTTTTCATTATAAAATTCTAATAGAAAGAAATAAAAAAAGAAATAGGGAGAGTAAAAAAAAAAAAAGTAATGCTTTTTTAATCGTATATGTCTATTTTCATCACAGCAACATAAACGTGCTGACAGTAGTGTAAACAATATTTCGCGTCGGTAACGTGTAACTTATTCACAGCGAAAAAAAAATGCCTCTAAAAAATCAACAGGTATTTCGATTTAAATTTATTTAAATTTATTTATTTATTATTATTTATATCTAGCGAATACAAACAGATACAGCACGTAATCGAGATCGAACACATACTACAACAACAGCAACATCAAAAAAAACTGTTTCTACATCGAAACAACTTGTCGGTGGTGTTGTTCAACCAAGGCCTATATCTGGTACAACAAAAATTAGTAGTGCAACTACATCAATCATTTTCGGAATAAATCCAAAACAAACAAATCATTCACAACCGACGAAAATTATAACTGAAGTTGATGGTATTTTAATAAATAGTTTGAATATTCTTTGAACATTTCTTTCTTTTTTTTTAGATACAAATATTGATGAAGTATTAACTTTAACTGATGTATCACTTATACCAAGATCATTTCTTACTGAAATTCAACAAGATGAAGTTTATGCAACAATTTTAGAAGCACTTCGAAAGAAAATGCCATATCAAATTCCACCTAAGACTCCTCCTCGACAAGAAGAAGATGATGAAGAAGAAAAACCATTTTCACCGCATCTTCTTGCAATCGATGACGACGATGATGATGATATAAGTGTAGATGATGAGATATCATCTTCATCATCAAGTGAAAATAATCCTATAGTATCTCATGAAGATTATGATACTGATATTGAAACAGGTGTGTGCATATATATATATATATTCAATATAAATGAAATTCTTATATAACATTTCTATTTTAAAATAGAATCTATTGTACAAAATGTTCATGATCCAACCGGTAGAGAACAATATCGTGAACTTTGTCAACAAGCAAATATAATTCCATGTTCATATTTTATGGCACATATACAAGATAGTGAAATGACTTTACGTTATCATCAATTTAATACAGAAGACATTCGAGCTATAACAAAAACACTTTATGTAGATGAATTTATTTTTATCAAAAAAAAAAAAAAAAAAAAATATTTTATTTTTCTTCTCTTATATGGTTATAGACGAATCTTAATGTTGAACATTTATTCTTAGATGGTAATTATTTACAACAACAAGCAACAAAACATATTACACAATTAATTTTAACAAATGATTCTATTACAGAATTAGTAAGAAAACAAAGATTAAAGAAACAAAAAAATCGAATGTAAATATATTTGCATATAGTCTCTTGCTGATAATCGACTTGGTGGTGATGAAGGTACAAAAGAAATATGTAGATTATTAACATTAAATCGAAATTTAAAAAAAATTAATTTATCAGGTATGAAAAGAAATTATTATAAATTCATTTATTATCTTTTCTATGAATATTAATTATTTTTATTCTAGGAAATAAATTCAATGAACTTGATATTGCACAATTAATCGAAGCATTTGAAGTAAATAAATCTATATTTTATATCTTATTTATTTTTCGAAAATTAATCTCATACTTATCAAAAAACATATTATAGTTATTTGAAATATTTCATACAAATTGTAAGATGATAATTAGTTCATTCATCTATATTAAATCAAATATATATATATATATATATTATATTAATAATTCATTTTAATTATAGCAAAATAAAATTTTACGTAAACTCGATTTAAGTCATAATTGTTTTGGTGAACACTGTGGTAAAACACTTGGTGCATTTATTAGTAAGATATATTCTTGATAAAGTTTAAATCTAATCTATCAATTGAATCTTTGTAGGTAGTAATGATTCATTAGAATCAATTGATTTAAGTTGGAATAAATTTCGTGGACGAAGTGCCATTGATCTTGTTAATGGAATTAAAGTATGCATTTATATATATAGAATATTCGTTTCTCTCAGAACGTGGAATCAACGATTTAGTGCCAGCAGAACTCTATCACAGTAAAAGATAAAGTCAAATATTTTTTTTTGTTTAAAAGTTTGTACCTAGGACTAGCTTCCCTCGTGGTCCTTTTTATAAGATAAGTCTTTTTATTATCATATAAGAAAACATCTCTATAAAAACAGCGGCATTTTTTTTAGGGTTTTTTGAGTCATTAAACTTGTTATCTCTTTTCTTGCCTTAAAAAGTAAGAGTTAAAAAAAAAGCCCACAAGAGAGCCTAGCCCTAGACACAAGCTTTCAAACAATAAAGAATTTAAATGTGTAAAATAAAGGTTCACAGAGAAATCCTGGCGCTACGATGGAGCTATTTTTGATCCTTGTTTGGTGAATATCTCTGTCAAACGTCATGATATAGGGCTGAAAAGTTTACCGTAGCCATCGATCATCGGCCCTAACATATCCTGAAAGTTTCGTGTCATCTGAATGTTCCTGGGCTGAGATCAATTTTTGAGGGGATGGCCTTAATCCTTTTTTTATTAGAGAAAGTATAATGTCTATTGAAAAAATATATAAAAGAATTTGATCAAATATGTTTTCTGATCGGCTACAGAAAACTATATCGCAACTATTTTGCGTTTAGAAAAAACTTCACATAATACGAAAGATTTTCTTTTTATTTTCTAAGGTTTATATAACGGAAGAATAGAAGACTATTACTGTACTAATGAAAGAAATATTCGATGTGTCTTATAATGACCAATATAAGGGAATCGGGCAAGTCGCTCGCGGATGTGGATGTGGCTACTCTCTTCATCCACATTCTTATCGAATTCCTTATTACACAATATAATTTGGAACAGAGCATAGCTTGTGTATGAAGTATTCAGACAAAACATATCAAAATAATTTTTTAATTAAGTCGTGTGTTGTTCAGTCCTTTGTACATTGAACTCATTATTTTAATATTATACGAAAACTGTCCTTGTAACAAACAATGATATAAATATGATGCTTAACAAAACATCGAATGTCAAAAATGAAAAAAAAGATCACATAAATATATTTGAATAAAAAAATTGTGACTAAGATTGAACCTTTTATAAAGACCTTCAGGAAATACTTTCGATCAAGTTCTTTTATATATTTTTTTCACTAGACATTATGTTTTCTCTAACAAGAAAGATAAAACACGAGTCAGGTCTTTATAATATTGCATTGTAACGCTATATTAAAAAAAAAACAACAAAATTAATGTAAAAATTTTGCCCCACCAATTATTTTTCTCTTACCTAGGCAATAAAGTATGATTTTTCTATTTCTAGGAAAACGTTCGCTTGAAATATTGTAATCTAGAAATGAATGGTTTAGGACCTGATAGTGGACAAATTTTAGCTGATTGTATTAAACAAAATAGTGCATTAGAAGAATTTAATATTAATGGAAATCGATTGAATACATCAAATGCTTTTGCTATTGCTCAAGCATTATCATCGAATGATTCACTTCAAGTTCTCAAAGTATTGATTTAATTGTTTTTTTTCTTTTGATCGTTTGATATATTGTTTTATTATAAAAATTGCCATACGGAATACATTTTAGATTGCCAATAACCAAATTAATTGTGATGGTGTACTTGCTGTTTTTCTTTGTGTCAAAGCAAATGAAGCAAATGCATTAAGAGAAATTGATTTTTCAGTAAGAATTATTTATTGATCGAAAAGATTTTAAAGGATAAATTTTGTTTTTTTTTCTATCGTATTGTTTATTTAGTATACAGTGGTTACTCAAGAAACAGTTGACGTTTGTAAAGATATTGTTAAATTAAAAGATGGTAAATTTCGATATCGTATTGGAAAAGTAACACCACGTATGTGAATTTGAATTTTCATTAATGAGAATAAATTATGTTATGAATATTCTTTTTTCATTTTTTTTTTATTTTTAGCAAAACTTCAACCAAACTCTACTAGTGAATGTTATGTTAAAACTAATGAAGAATTACTCAATAGACTACGTTCAAACGCAGCTAATGTTAAACCTAATGTTGATTAATTCATTTTTTTCTCCTGTTTTTCATTGTTAAAAAAATAGTGAATAAGTTGTTGTGAATGTGCATAAAAATATAATAAAAAAAACGATCTGAACAACACAATAAAACAAAATTGCAAATATGTGCTTTTGTTTTCAGAATAATAGACGGGCGTGGGTGTGGGTGGATACGAGACCCTCAATCAATCCACGTACTTCAGAAGAGATTACTAAAAATCCTGTTATCTTCTAAACCTGTTCTCGTAGAAAGAAGACATTCTTCCTAGCTGAAACGTTCGGTATATAATAGGGATTATAAGACCTCTTCATTGGAACAGTTTCAAGTTTAAATGATGATAGTGGATTTTTTATGACTACCATGCATTAGGACAGAAATTCAGTAAAATGACCATAACTCGAAAAGAAAGCAGCATGGGAACAAAGTATTTTAGGTTTTGCCTACCGTTAATAGGTTTTATGTGATCACACAAATCTCGTTTCAAAAGCTTTTTATCACCTGGAAAGTTTCGCTGGTGAGAAGTGATTATTCCTTTGGCTATTCGATTCATTACAAGAAATCCATTGGTCCTAACCGTACTGATTGATATGCGCATCCAGGATACGTATGGGCAATTCATCGATCAACTTTCAATGACATCGGTGATCCAATTGTTTTTTGTATTGCCAACTCGGATGATTTGCATTTTGCCTATGCTCTATTGGATCATATTCAAGATATGTTTCCGTACGGTATTCACACAGACTATCGTCTTTTGGTAAAGTCGTGGGACGATTGAGTAGCTGTAGTGGCCGTCGGTGGTACTCATATCAGCTATACCTCTACTCATGTGTCCCATCAGTGGCATGGAAATTGCGAGAGCCGTAACTATGTTTATCGCTGATGAACGATATTCCACTTTGTAATCATTGAGAACCTTTAAAGGAAATATTTTCTCAATGTTTTTTTGTTACGTTTAGGTCCATTTTAGTCAACCATAAAAATCTCGTCATTGAATGATCTAAGCTTGAAAATGACGATTTTCGTTCAAAGTCTTATTTTAAGAAGGATTGCCTTGATGCACACGACATGTCTAATCAAGTGACATGAACCGTCAAAATAGTCCTAAAATAAAGATTTCTCGTTTTGTTTACGAATTCATAAAATGCGAAGTGCACAACTGTTTAATTTGAACATGCTTTTTCGAGTAGAACTCCTTAACGTATAGATCTATTAAAAATTTCACTTCTATTCGATGAGCTGTTCTGGTAACACGGAGTCTAGAGAAAAAACTTTTTGTAAATTGCGATTATCACGACTTTTTGTTAAATATTGATTAAAAATTGCTAGTTCAATATTTCTGAAAGCAATTTTGTTAAAATTCATGAAACTCTTATCTCTACAGAATATCTTAAATTGAGCAAGCTCTAACGATTTCGATTGAGTAAACTTCCTATGATGTCGGTCGCAGCTTACATGGAATGCTTCTTATTTTCCAAATCTGTCTAACTTTGAATTTTGCGAAGGTACCTAAGAAAAATGAAAAATGACATGGAAATTCACAATAGTTGGAAAAAAAACTTGGTCTTATTATTTTTCATACTGTTTTTGTAATTTTCATTCATTTCTGTCGATTTTAATATGTTTTTTTGATCAATTTACGTCATTCTTAGATGTTCAAGATAATAGTTAATTTATCTGCTAAATTCCAATCTTTTTTTTTTGAGTATTTTGATCTATTCTATTTTCATTCTCAAATTTTATCTATTTCTACGTTCGTTCTAAGATGATTCTGTCAATTTCAAGGTTTTTATGTTGTGATTGTTACCTAAGATATTACGTTGAACATTTTCCGATCGTTAATACAACTTTATCGTAAGACTATTATATTATCATATCAGTTTTTTGGTAACTTTCATTCGTAATGATCTTAACTGTCATTTTTCCTCTTAGGACAATTGACAAAATTATCCAAATATATCAATACTTAGTATTGCTTGTAGGCTATTAAGTCATAATGTAACCAACAGAAATAAATTAATTTGATAAGACTAGTATTGTAAAAAAATAAGACCAAGTTTTTTTTTTGAAAACTGTTATAGGGTACATATTCCTATCGATGTCATAAAGTTTATATATGCTCCAGTGAAAAATAGAACAAAGTTATACCATAGCACATTATTCTTTTAATACAATTTCTCTTAGCACTTTAAGATGCAAAAATACTTGTCTATATCAGGACCCATTAAGAAGAAGCATGAATGTTAGTGTGATATACTACTATATATGCTGATTCTCTACTATAGACTACGACTAACAACGGTACTAAATCGAGTTCGATCCAAAAAAAAAGGTTAATAGCTAGTAAAACAATTTTACCAATTTAAAAAAACCAAGGACATTTTTAGCGTTTTTTTTTGAAACACTGAATATAAAAACAGATGAATGAATATTGAATAGCTATATAGAATTCAATCATACAAATTTTTTCATTATAGAACTGATTAATACAATGCAATATTAGAAGATCTTATTCTTTCAATAGAAATCATAAAAAATTTGATACTTTCGAAGGATATTAATACGTCATAAAGACTCTTACATAGATTTGAGTTGAACAAGACGAAAATTAATTTCTATCTATTCTGTATGGATGATAGCATCGTATTCTTCATATAATCGCTATCTGTCGAATGAAGGAAAACAATCAGCTGTTTTGTCACATGTCGATATTTTTCTTATTCAAATTCAATAAATACATACATTCATTTCTATATTTTACATATATATAAACATCATGGTTGTCGACAGTGAAAAAGTGAATATAAAAAGAGAAGTACTTGAATTATTTTACATATTTCTTATTTGTAGAAAATTCCAATACATACAGAATTAATAACAACAAATATGAATGATGATCATACAACAACACTCGAGATTTTACGTTATTCAGTCAATGAATTACAACGAAAACAAATCGATATCCATCGACATATTGGTCAGCTATCAGCAGTAAATTATATTCTATAGATAAATTTGTTTTTTTTTTGTTTTGTTTATTATTATCTATTTTCTTTTGCTTAAGGTTATGTCTGATTTTGAATATCATATGGCACAAGTACGTAATATATGTGAATCATCTAATAATAACAATAATGAATTATGTCAATCTTTATTATGTCATCTTGAATCAGTTATAATTGATACACGATCAGCCTTAGTTGCTTCAACAACAAGCACTAATGATGCACAACAAGTTCATGATCTTGTTGATCGTCTTTATGAAGAAAATCAACGAATAGCAAATCATATTGATAATTTATTAAAACAAGATCAATTAGATATTGAAATAAAAGATGAACAACCATTAGAAGAAGATCATATTCAAAAAGCTATTGAACATATTGAACTTGCTTTAGAACAAAATATTCGTGAACAAGAATATATTAATAAAGAACAAGAATATTTTGAAAATAATCAAAAACAAATTGAAACATTTATTCAAACAACTGAACAATTACATGAAGAAGCTTTAGAAAAATTACGAGAACATATTAAAGTATTACGTGAACATAATCAATCATTAAAACAATATAATGAACAAATTGATATACTTACGAAACAATTACCACAAACTTTATTTTTATCCGCTCAATAAAAACACTTTTTTTTCAAATTTGATTTATTTCTATATGAATTATGCCACTAAATTCAAGCATTTATTCTTTGACGTTTATCTACTATCTATTTCAAAATATAATATGCTCCGCTGTTTTTTAAATAACTTTTAATAGGAACTTAATAGAGATCTGAGGTTTTCACCATTCAATAGAGAAGGCCTAGAATCATCGAAATTTCGTTGATCAACTATTGACCAATCAGATAAATTCTTGATGGAAAACTATTTTCCTTTCGATTTAGACTTTTAATAAAACTACTCGATAGAAGAATTCTTCTCTTTCGATCTACACAAGGCTGACATTTCTAGCTCGTTCTGCTAAAGAGCTATAAGATTTTCTCTGAGACTTCTGATTTCAGTCAATTGATCTCTGATCACCCGGAAAGGCAGCTAGGCAAGAGTAATTCACCATGCTGAGTTGAATGACGATATTTTTTTAAGGTTTGAAATGATCTTATTCTATAATGTCAATGTTTCTGAAATCCAACAATCAGCCGCCGTGTAACAAAGGGGTCGACATTTCAGAAATATTGAGATAACATTGTCAGATCATTTCGAACTTAAAAAACAAATTTCATTATTCGGCTGAGCTTGATAAATTACCTCTGCCTTATTCATAGATTGTTGCTCCAATGATAGTAATTACAAAAGATAGTCAATCGATTGTAATGCAATCACTAATGTTAACATATTACAAAAAACAAAATGATCAAACATCATAAATCTATTAGTTTTAATTTTTAAGAGATAATACAAAAAAACAAAAACAATCGTATTCTATTTTAAATTTAATTATCTACATGAGAATCAAAAGAATACTAATCAAAGAATAAGACAAATATGAGTATGTCATAAATTTTGTTGCTTGATTGGTAGAAAATGGATAGAAGAAATCAGCTGGTAAACGAGTATTTGGTGCTGGTATTTGACCTTGTTCAATAACAGGTGTAACTGATATATCTTGAAAAGTAACACTTTCCGTTACTAGTAAAGTATCATTTAATAGATTTGTTGTGATTGTCTAGAAAAGAAAAGAATACAAAATGATTTAAATCAATATTTTCTAATTCTTACTTGATAATGAAAGATAACTGCACTCAATACAAATTGTGGATTACTAATTGAACCAATTTTTGTGTAAGCTATTTGAATATCTAATTTAACATAACACACAACATCCGAACTTGAATATAATTTAATACCATTTTGACATTGAAAAATATTTGGAGATCCTATTGCAGATATGCAAGATATAACACGTAACCAATCATTGGTACTATTAGACATATTTGGATTACTATAGGCAGCTACATATAAATTAGTTGCATTAATAGGCATAAGTATGTCATAGATATTAGGACATGTTGTTTGACCGGTTGCACTGTATTAAAAAACAAAAAAAAAAGAAAGAAATCAATATTCAGGTGTCATTAAATTAGAACTTTCAACGAAACAAAAATCGCTTGTTTCCTCATAGCTTCCTATTGATCACTAATATTTTCCAGCAAAAAATCTCTACTTGCTATAATCTTCATAATGAAAACAATATTTACCATAGTCAATTTTTTAAGGCTTTCTATTGATACTAGCGCATGCCCCAGAATAAATTGTATTAAATCTTAGTGTCTTTTTCTCTTACTTTCTAAGTATAATAGAAAAACGAAAAATGTTTAACTAAGACATATAAGCTAAACCAATACGGTCAGCTTTCACTGTACTTTTATACCGTACTACCACAAAAATCAGATTGATTACAAATAATTTATGAGCTGATATTCTTTTATTTTTCATATAGTTGAGTGTAATTTTCTATTCTCTGCTGACACTTATTGATTTTTGTCAAACAGAGACCAAAAGTAAATTACTTAAAATTAAATAATAAAGAATTTTGTGTTCTATGTCTCTAAGATATTCTCAAGATTTCCGAAGGTGTTATTTACGAAAAGAAGACTTAGAACTGACAATTGTTGGTATTTTTGAGAATATTTTGGAAAATCATGTTTTCAAAAGGTATACCTACTCTATGAAAGATTTATTATTATGTCATCGGATATAGAACTTAGTTCTGAACAAAAACTACATAAAGATTAAATTGATCCGTGTAAATATTTAAGTTATCTTGGATTAGAAAATAACGATGGCATTGGTCTATCAGAAGACTCTGCGACAATTGGTCGTTATGCTGAAAAATAAAATCAACAAAAAGAAATTTCTTAACATTTCGATAAATTCAAAATGTGAATATCGACATTCATGTACCGTTTACTAGCGAGATCATCTAAGAGTTCATTCTATGGAGTAAATCTTCATTTTTCACATGCCATTTTCATCCTCGTACGATACTGTATGTGACTTAATCACATGTTTTTTACTTTAAAATTGTTGCTTTCAAGAACTGTAGTTTGATGTGTTTTTATGTTATCTTATTAGAAAAGGTTCATTTAATAATAGATTATTATGAATTGTCATGTTCGATTTATTTAAATCTAAACCATTGAATAGGATACAAGCTATGATTAGATAATTTTAATTATAGAAAAAAAAAATGATTTCGAACGAACGTCTTACTTGTATTTACATGTCGAACGAATGCTTTCACCGAAACTGATTGGCATACGTTGTGTATTACTCGAATCACAATAGCCAGTGGATAATGGTCTTAAAATTGAAAATTGTGAAGAACTTATTGTTCTACAAAAAAAACAAGACAAATTTTTTTTTTTTTGTATTAATAAAATGAAATTTTAATTGAATTCATACTGGATTGTGGTATCATTTTGGATACTCGCTATAATATTAGCACCTTGAAGATAACCTGGATTACGTTCTGTGCTTGAAGATGATAATGATGATGAATCATTCTGAAAATGAAATGATATTCAAAATTTTATTAGTAATTAAATTCAACTTTTACTTGTATAAATTGAACGATAAATGTTTGTTCAAATGTTGTGCCATCCATTGAATCGCTAGTAACATTTGTAACACTCACATTTACTATTCCAGATGGATTTGAATAGAAAATTTTAATAGTTAACTAGAAAACAAAATTTTTTTTATATCAATTAATGATAGATCTTTATAATCATACACTTTTAAGAGCGCCTGAACAAGTACTTCCAACAAAACTTGCCGGAGAAACACTTGTATTATCACAAATATATGTTGAATTATCTATAGAAAATACAAATCATTATTTGAGAATGATAAAACATGAAAAAAACAAAATACCAAAAGGTAGTGAAGGAAACTAAAACAAAATAAAAATCATGATATAGAAAACAAATAAAACGTAAGTGTGTTTTCTATTTACTCTAATAAGACAGAGAGGATTCATATATGTTGAAGGATTAAGAGCTCCATAACATGTAGTTAAACTCACTACCCGATTGCATGTTGATGTAAAATCGTTCATATAAGCTAGATGGCAAGAAGAAAAAACAATAACATCATCATAATTAAATACATATTAAGTCATTATATAATACATACTGATTGTTTGTGATCCAGAACACAATTGATTATTGGATAGTTTCACTGGTAGAGAATAATAAATAGGTGCTGCCCTTGTCGTGTTATATGTCAGTATCGGCGTGCCGACCTAGAAAAATTAACATTTTTCTCAGGAAAAAGAATTATTAAAGAACCTTAAGTAGGAATGTAACTAAGGAGAGACTTAGCCCCCTTCCACTGATCGAAGCCACACTAGCTAAACTTTTCCATAGAGCCCAGTTCCCTCTCGTCACACTAGCGAAATTTTGGTTAGGCCATTAATTCCAAGAGGAAAAACTACAACCATGGCTGCCACAATAGGGTTATAACGTATCCTAATGAATACACTTCCTGTCTTATATAGTAGGTACTAAAATTATTCAACAAGATTTAATTTCAACTTTTTTTCTGCTATTGTAAATGCTAGAAAGAATCCAAATAATGATTCGAATAGAGAAAATAGCTTTCAACAAGAATATAAGGAAATAAAAATTTTTATCAAATTTCCAAGATTTGACTTCAAATTTTGTACGAACAAAGTTTTCAATGAGATTAGTTCATTGGACAAGGTGTAACTTTTCCAGTATCTTCTATCCTGAGATAAGATTCATCCGAAAAAAAAATCTATACAATTTTAATAATTTAAAACTGATATTTTACTTGATAATTAGTTAGATTAGTTGGTAATCCAGATGGTGCTGATATACTATTTTCTCTATTAATTGTCCGTACGAAAGAACCTGGATCCAATGTTTGAATGTTTGGTTGTTGATAATATTGACTTCCACTATCTAAATCCAACAGGAAAATTTTTATCGAATCAAAATTTAATTAGAAGAAGAAAAAAAACTATAACAAACATCGTTGAAAATCTACACAAACAAGTTCGCCCATTTTTTGGATAACATATGGCGAATTTGATTGAAATATGGATATATTTTTATAACATGATGGTTGAATAGTAGATAAGATTGGTGTTGTACTAAACAAAATAGGTATTTCAATTTTTTGAACTTAAAACAAAACATAAATGCTGAAACAAAAGTTCTTGTATCATTTTGTATAAAAAATTTACAATAAAACATCTTTAAAATGATTATAGATTAAACTCGTTAGCATATTTTGTAAGAAATCTATTCATATAGAATTACTGGTTATAATTAAAAATGAATTAATCATTAATATTTACGATAGGAGAATAGAAATAGTCGGCTAAACCAACATTTTATTCAGATATTCTTTTCCGCAGCAGCATTCTAAAACTCTAAGAAGGCAAACATCTATTTTTAAGAGCACCGACACAGAGTATGAAGTATAATAATCATAAACTCAGGAAGGACTAACTTGGTCTTCGAAGACATTCCATCCTCTCAACCTCTACGCTGCATACAACACTTCGGAAACAATTGATTTGCATTACGAAACTAACATCGAATTATGTCTTTGAAACAAAAAGAATTCTATTTCGACAGTAAAAATTACAAATGACAAGCCACTTCTATTTGACTTCAATCCTTTTTTTTTGTTTAATATATTAATTATTTTTTGATCGATTCTGTACATCATTCTGTCCTTAAGAATTTTTCATGCACTATGCCTTCATTCTTCTTTTTAATGATATTTTTTGAAAGCTTCACGTCTCGAAGAGACAGTGTTCAAAGCTTCTGAATTTTTTTTATGGAAATCATTAGAACACTATGTAGTATCTATAGGCAACAAAAAATCATTGAAATCGGAAGAGGAACATCTGAAGAGATTCTCTCGTTAGCCTTTATAGTTGCTTTTTTAAATATAAATGTTCACTTGAACAGATTGAAATCAAAAACGATTTACAGAAATTTCTTTAATATAATATTATAATCAATAAATAAACTAATGTTTTGTTATTTGTACTTATTTCTGTTCAATTTTTACATTATGTATTAGTATAAAAAACAAAAGATTAATTTTGTCTTAAAAACAAGATTTTCTCATTCGATTCAATATGATTTCTCCGTTGTATGTAACATCAATGTTCGATGTATCTATTCAATTTACTTTGTATATTGATTATCTCTTGAACTACATGAAAATGCTAGTATATCATCTGACGAACAATCAGGATCACAACAACATGATACATCACATTGATTTGCAGTTAAATCACATGGACATGATCCAATATCTAAAAAACAAAAAAGAATGATTGGTAAAAATCTAATAATATTCATTATCTACCTGTATTAACTGGAAATGTTTGAAATTGTACGGTTACATTTTGACAATAAACTGTTGTAGTTAATAATACAAAGATAAAATTAATAATAGTAAACATCTAAAATTTAATTGACAATAAATAAAAATAAAATAGTTTATTTTTATTGTTTATTAAAAAAAAACAAAAAATAAAAAGATGTTATGCTCTACAATGAAAGAAAAAAAATACCTCATTGATTCAATAAATAGAAAATGAAAAATAATTAAACATACGCTTTTAGTGAAAGTTGTTCCATTTTTTCATTTTGTTCACGTTCAGTTTTTTGTAATGATTCATATTCTGTTCGAAGTCTATCACATATTATTAGTAAAAAGTCAATTAATAATAATAATAATAATAAAGAATAAAAAATATTATATTACCGTTCAAGTTCAACTAATTTCTCTTTGATTAATGATTGCAATTGTTGTTTTTCAAATTCACGATATTTAGCTGAAGATTTTAACATATTTTTTGCTCCAATTGCCTAAAATTTTAAAATATAAAGAAGAAAATTAATGGAATTCAGTTTTCATAAATAGAACTCATAATCCACCGAATAAAAAAAAAAAGAAAACTATGGAGACTATTTAATCAAGTACAGATAGATGAAAAAAATGGAGAATCATTCATACAATTTTTTTCCTAGGTCATCGAAATTTATGGAATATTTTACAAGTATATCTACGTCCGTTCCAGTCTTTCATGATCTTTGATTAGTGTCTGTCACGTTGAGGCTTTAACAAGAAGAAGGTCGTGCTCTCTGACTCTAACCTTTGCTCTCGATCATACTCTTCTGCGAAACATTCAAATAAATACTGTATTTTTAATAAAAATCTTTTAAAAAAATCTCGAAAAACTACTGTGATTCTTCAATTCATATATCCCAATATTAAAAAGGACATCTAAAAATTTTTGTCAAGGATAGAAATCAAATTTACCGTTTCAAAAATATTCTTTTTTTGTACAATTCAATTAATTATTTTTCTAGAGTTTACTATTCCAATTTCTTTTGGTACAATACATCTATTAATATGCTCAGCCTCTGTTTCGCTGGCTGAATTAATTTTATTGTCGGAGCATAAGTTCTATATGAATTTTTCTTTTTGACGTTGCATTGTAATATAAGATCGTAGAGACTTGAACCCTTTTTGGTTCGAAAGAGCAAGAATACATAAAAGAACTTCTTCGAAAAACTCTTTCACAATTTTTTTTTTTGAATTTAGAAAAAACTTTCATCCAATAAAAAAAGTTCTCCTCTTACTTGTCTATTCAAAATTTTATGAACGTAATGACAAGATACTATTACTATACAAAAACAAAAAGAAATATTCTATCCGTTGTATAAAAACTGACAAGAATGTTTTTATAACATCTTCCGGTATCACCTGATAGCTCATAATTGATGATCGTAGTCGAAAATTGTGTTCTTTACTAAACGATATTACTTTAACTAGAACACAATTTCTTCGTGGAATATCCATAGAAAGTTTCTTTTTTTGTGTATTGTAAACATTATATTGAACTCTTGTACACTGAACTAGTTATTTTAATATCATACGAAAGTCTTCATTGTAATCAAAAGTGAATAATGAAAAAGGTCCAACACATTTGAATAAAAAAAAACCGTGACCTTCAACAAATATATCCAACCAAATTCTTCTATATATTTTTACATTAGATATTTAGTGCTATCTAATAAAACGATGAAATATCTACGATATTATATTATAATGCTATATTAAAAACAAACTTAATACTGAATTTTTATCTTATTTATTAGAATAAACAAAAACTCACTTTAAGTCTTGCTACTTCAACTTGTTTTGAATATTCTTCAGTTTTTTCAATTAATGTATCAACAATTTTTTTGAATTCGAGTACATCTTAAGAAATAAATTAGAAATTAGATTATAAAATAAAACATTCATGTGTTTACTATCAGTAAAATCTTTGCATTCATCACGTAATTCAGCTGAATCAGTCACTCGTTCAGGATCGATTAAACGAATTTTATTTTCATCATCAATGAATAAACCAAAATTAGACAATGCTTCTTCAACCATGATATTATTTCTTATAAAGATCAATGAATAATAGCAAATTCCATTGATGAACTGCTTTATTAAATATTGCCTAGCAACTTTAAGAAATTAGAATATTACGAAAAAAAAATATTCCTAAGAATATTTCTCGATTTGAAACTATATAATAGAGAATATGAATGAAATTTTGACGTAAATTTTCAACATCCTTATTATAGATGTCACTAGTGACATAGCAAGTACGGCATTCAAGTCTTTCATGAAATGACGACTTCCTCATTGATATTTCCAGTTATATTCAACACCTAGTCAATCTTTTTTGTATGACACTGTTATAAAAATACAATGTGAATTAAATATAAGAGGAAAAAAATCTTTATGTATATGCATGTTATCTGATAGTCAAATGATCATAACACACGAAGAACTAATTAAAAAACACTAAAAAGAATTTGAAAAAATTAAATCAATTTTAACAAAATTATATCAATGATGAGAAAAAATTAATCACTTACTTCAATTTAAAATAAAGGAAACATGTGATAGTAAAGTATCAATGTATATACTCCTCAAGTTAATCTGTGTGATAATGAAAAATTCTTTTTTCAAATGATGAGAACCATGCAAAAACAAAGACAGAGCAATTAAATCATTTATCTAGGTCAACGATTCCAGCAACTGTATCCGTGAATTTCTGCTGGAAGAAAATCGAGAATATTGCAGGAATTCAGAGACAAGACTCTGCTAATTGAATTTTTAAAGTTTCGATGGGAAGTGCTCCGTATCCTTTTGACCTTGGTAAATAAAAGAAAAACGAATTTGGAAATCTTTAATAATGTTTCAATTTCTAGTTAATTCATCATCATCATCATCATCGCTATTTTAATATAATTCATCTTCATATTGAATTACCTCTTCCTCTAAATCACCTACATCATCTTTATCATCAATTAATCATAAAAGAAATACAAGCTCGAATTTATTTTGATATTGTTCCATATTCGATATCATCGAGCAAATAATATCCAGAATTTAATTTAGATTTATTGCAATCATCATCTGGTCATAGAGCTATAATTATGGGCACTACTCTAGAAACAGTTGAAAAAGCAAAGAAAGCATTAGAAGAACTTGTTCGAATGACCCACGTTTGTAAGACTTTTCTAACAGGAAAAATTAGTAAATTATATTTGGTTTTTTTTTTGTTTTCTAAATTAATATTTCTGATTTATATTAAAAGTAAAACAATTTTATTTTGTATTTTCGATGAATCTGTTTTTTCTTTTTGTAAACATAAAAAATACAATCCTATTGCATTTGTTGTAAACAAGAAAGTTATAGTATCAATAATGACATACGGTTCACATGCTCATGTTTATCAACATCTACTATAGATCATTGATTCCTTTTATTTCAGTGTATACCAATGTGCGTACATTGTTAATATATTGTTGTATTCTAAACGCTACAGAATATGTTTACAAGTTTAATTTCTTTAATATCTTGTTATAGTCATGAATCGAAACAAGAACTTGTTCCAAATACTGTTCTTAAACTTATTCATGCCAATTTTTTTCATTATTATTATGATGTGCTATTCGCGATGAATTTTATTACCTATGAGAAAACTACCCGTCGTTTGAGCTCCTGCCGGGTTTAAAAGAAGGTCTTGGTAAAACTAGAAAAATCCTAGAATGGTTCGTATTCATGGGATCTCTGGAACCGAGTTATGACTATTGTACTCAATTTTCGATCTAGCTGTAAGTATTTAGCAAAAATTCAAATAATGTTATTTCGATCTGAAACTTCATCCATAGATAGGTCTAATAACCTTTAGAATATCCTGAAAGTTTCAGTCGAAAAGAATATTTCTTCGTCGAGTTATTGAATTTTGAAGTGCACTCGATGTTTATGACAAAGGCGTAGTATCAGAAATTCAATATCTTGACGAAAGAACATTCTTTTCGACGCAAATTTTCAGGATATTCTAACAGTCATTAAATCTATCTATAGGCAAAAATTTTTGATCGAAATTCCGTTATCGGATTTTTCCGGTAGTACTTAAAGATAGATCGAAAATTCAGTAAACTGATCATAACTCAGAATCAAAGCCCAATGGGAACGAACTCTTTTAAGATTTTGCTGGGCTCACTAAGACTTGCCTGTGGATCCAATAGGAGATCATACGGCGGGTTATCAGTTCAGTTAGTTTCCTCGTTAGTAAGAAAAATGACATAAAACATTCTACATATAGAAATAAAAAACGAATATGTTTTATGTTGACACAAACTTTTGTTTTGATGTCGATGATGAAAAACTGAAGTATATCAAATTTATATTTCAGTAATTTCTTTTATTTTTATATTCGGATTGAAATTCAGGATAATCAGAATTGTAACTTTAATCATTTTACTTTTTGTTATATGATTAACTTTTTTTAATTTATTTTTGCTTTTCAGATTTTTTTTTTTTATAATGATGAAAAAAATAGTTTTGTCAAAACATGTTTGAAGTATCTATAGTAATCCACTCAACAATCGTCAACGTAAGAGAATGTCATAAGATAAAACCTTAGAAACGAAATTCGAAATTTCTTTTTTTTTCATTTTATTTGTTTGCCATTCATTGGTGACATACACTTTCGTACTGTTTCGAAAAACACTTAGTGTGGCATGCACAATCAAAAGGTATATACGTGAGAATGACTGACTTTTTAATAGCACCTGAACCATTAAATAAACTTATTTGGCGTTTTGACAATAAAAATTTAGCATTATCTTCATCAATAGTTGTTGATGATGTTGATAGAGAAAATCATGAACATTTTCAATCAAATTCATCATCAATAGTAAATTCATGTGGAACAGGAGAAAATGTGAATATAGCTGAACGTTATTTACTTGAAGTATTATTTGAAAAATTTCATTGAATTATTTAAATGAATATATATATTTAAAAGGCAATAAGAGCATCAGCAAATGAAGTAGAAGAAAAATGGAATCAATTTATTCAACGAATCGAATATGATCATTA